TCGGAGCTCCTGCACCGCGGCCTGGGTGTGCACCACAGCGGCATCCTGCCCATCCTCAAGGAGATTGTGGAGATGCTCTTCAGCCGCGGCCTGGTCAAGGTGCTCATGCTGGTGGGAGAGGGACTCCCCAAAGCATTCGTCACCTGCTTGGGCAGGGGGTGGGCAGGACAGTGCAGTGGCTGAGAACTTGGGCTCTGGATCCAGGCTGCCTGGGTGGAAATCCCAGGTCCACTGTTAACTCGCTGTGTTACCCTGGGCAAATTACTTAATCTCCTTGAACTGTAAGTTTCACATTTTGAAATGGAGGTACATAAAGTATGAACAGGGGCTTCCCCAGTGGCTCAGTGGTAAAGAATCTGTGTGCAATGCAGGAGCCACAAGAGACATGGGTTTGATCCCTGGGTTGGGAAGATACCCTGGAGGGGAGCATGGCAACCCACTCCAGTATTCTTATTTGAAGAATCCCATAAACTGAGGAATCTGGAGGGCTATAGTCAGACATGACTGAAGTGACTTAGCACACACACACACAAGGTATGAACAGGCAGTATTCAGAAGAGAAAACTAAAAATCTAGCAAGCTTATGGAGGTCATTAGTTATCAGAAAAATGCAAACTGAAATACAAGATAGGACTTGAGAGGACTTTACAGAAATTAAAACTGGTAAAATTTAGGAAAGTAGGCAATACCAAGTGTTGCCTGAGATGTAGGAGATTACAGGATTACAGGAACCCTTGTACAGGTGTGGCCAGTCTGGTGTACCTGGTGCACTTGAGGCAAAGACAAGTCTATGCCTACTCTTTGTCCCTAAATTCCGCTCCTGAGTGCAAATCACAATGAAATTCTCACCCTGGTCAATGAGGGAACACATCTGCTCTTCCTCTGTGGGATGTTGTCTTGTGGCAGGGTGTTGGTGGTACCAGGGGCCCTTTCACTGGGAGAGCAGGTAAGGCAGGTGTATGCCATGCACCCCACAAGGTGTCTTGTGGCAGGTTGGAAGCAATGGATTAGATATAATCACAGGAACACAGATGGATGTTGAAAATACTACATGTAAGAAAAGAAAACAGGAGATACGTGTCACCTTTCCTGCAACATGTATTACACACACACACATTTTATAAAACACATTCATGTGAAAAGATACACATTAAAGAGTGACAGAGGCGAGACAGGAGTGGGCTGTGGGGGTGAAAGGAAAGAAATAGGTAGCTAAGTAAATAAAACAACAGTACCTACTCTGTAGATCTGCCTTGAGAGTCAGATGAGGTCTCATGAGTTAAACGTCTGGGACTATGCCTGGTGCCTTAGCCTTGGCTACAAAGTGAGGTAGGCTTGGCCAGGGCTGGGCCACAGCTGTGTTTAGCCCCTTAGCTGATCCTCTCTTCCCCTCCCCATCCCAGGTCTTGTTTGCCACGGAGACCTTCGCCATGGGTGTAAATATGCCGGCCCGGACGGTGGTATTTGACTCCATGCGCAAGCACGATGGCTCCACCTTTCGGGACCTACTTCCTGGGGAGTATGTGCAGATGGCGGGCCGGGCGGGCCGGAGGGGCCTGGACCCCACAGGCACAGTCATCCTGCTCTGCAAGGGCCGCGTGCCCGAGATGGCAGACCTGCACCGCATGATGATGGTGAGCCAGGGCACCTCGAGGCCAGCTCTGGGCACCTGCTGCATCCTCTGTGCCCACCCTCCTCGCCTCTCTCTTTCCTTTCCTTTGGTCTGGGAGAAGCCAGGGGAGGCGCGAGCCAATCCTAGGATGAGGCTGGATCTCGTCTTCTCTAGTCTTTTTTCACTGTGGATATGGAGCTAGGTGGGACCTTGGAGAGTCTGTTTATTTAGTCTCACTCCCTTGTTTTGCAGAGGTGAGCAGGCAGTTTGTCTAGGGCCCTGAGGTTGCGGGGCTGGGACTACAGCTGCTTGGCGTAGAGCAGCTCAGCAGCGGGTCTCCTCCCCACCCCCCGAGCCTCACTGGCATCTCTGGCCTGGCCCAGGGGAAGCCGTCCCAGCTGCAGTCCCAGTTCCGCCTCACGTACACCATGATCCTCAACCTGCTGCGGGTGGATGCTCTCAGGGTGGAGGACATGATGAAGAGGAGCTTCTCAGAGTTTCCATCCCGAAAGGACAGCAAGGTGAGGAGGTGGGTGTGCCCAGGTTGCCCTCTAGGATATGGGACAAGGGAAGCCAGGCTAGGACGAGGTGGGCCTCTGGAAGCCAGTGGGTGAAAGTGGAGAGAGCCGGCCTGGGTTCACACCTACCCTGGCTTCTCCCAGGCCCACGAACAGACTCTGGCTGAACTGACCAAGAAGTTGGGGGCTTTGGAAGAGCCCGAGGTGACTGGCCAGCTTGTCGACCTGCCTGAGTATTACAGCTGGGGGGAGGAACTGACTGAGACCCGGAGCCAGATCCAGGTGAGCACCTGTGAGTGTTGGGGGCCAGGTGATGGACGGGGAGGAAGAACCTGGGACGTTCTGGGTACACCTGAACCTCGTCCCAGCATCTCTGTGACACTTCTTATCCCCTTCTCATCCCTGTTCTTCAGCACCGCATCATAGAGTCTGTGAATGGGCTGAAATCTCTCTCAGCGGGAAGGGTGGTGGTTGTGAAGAATCAGGAGCATCACAATGCACTGGGTGTGATCCTTCAGGTGAGGGCGATGGGAATCTGGACTCCAAGGCCAGAGGGAGCAGCCAGCCCCATCTCCATCTTCCCCACTTGGCGAGGAGCCAGTTGTACTCGGCAGTGCCCTCATTTTTCCCTTGAGCCCTCCTTTCCTTCCCATCCCTACCACTTCATGCTCGTCTCCTCATCCTCCCCCCAAGCCCTCCCCCCGAAGTCTGCTCCGATTGCTTGACTTGGTTACCAGTCTGTATGGCCGCCCCATGCTCCCTGCCTGAAGTGGGGGATCTGGTCTCTTCTTGGATGTCCGCTCCTCACCCTGCCCTGGCCTGGCCTCCCCACCTCTCCTAGGTCTCTTCCAACTCCACCAGCAGGGTATTCACAGCCCTGGTCTTGTGTGACAATCCCGTGTCTGAGGACCCGCGAGAGAGGGGGCCAGCCTCCCCAGATGTCCCCTATCCAGACGACCTCGTGGGATTCAAGCTGTTCCTGCCTGAAGGTGAGAGTGGACGGATGCTCGGGCTCTTGCCAACAGCTCAGCTGAGGTGCCCTGTCTGACCCTGCTCTCCCCTTTTCTCAGGGCCCTGTGACCACACTGTGGCCAAGCTCCAGCCAGGAGACGTGGCCGCCATCACCACCAAGATGCTCCGGCTGAATGGGGACAAGATCGTGGAGGACTTCAGCAAGCGGCAGCAACCAAAATTCAAGTCAGAGATGCTGGGGAGGGACCATGTGGGGGTGGTGGGAGGTGTGGTTGGGGAGGCTCCCCCAGCCCGAGAGGGGTTCTGCAGGAAGAGAAGCCTCTGCCCCAGGTCTAAGACCAGCTCCATCCTCAGGAAGGATCCGCCCTCTGCGGCCGTGACCACTGCTGTCCAGGAACTGCTACGACTGGCTCAGGCGCACCCCACAGGACCCCCCACCCTCGACCCTGTCAATGACCTGCAGCTCAAGGATGTGTCTGTGGTTGAGGGGGGGCTCCGGGCCCGGAAGCTGGAGGAGCTGATCCGGGGGGCTCAGTGTGTGCACAGTCCCCGTTTCCCTGCCCAGGTGGGTCCCTCGATGTGAGCTTCCCCGCTGGGAGGGACGGCTTTCCCTCTCATCCCCTGCAGACTGGCCGCCCCTGTCCCAGCCCTGGTCCTCAGCTCCCCTGCTGAGGTCAGGGAGGAGGCTCAGGAGTCCCTGCCCTTGCCTCCTTGCAGTACCTGAAGCTGCGGGAGCGAATGCAGATCCAGAAAGAGATGGAGCGGCTGCGCTTCCTGCTGTCTGACCAGTCGCTGCTGCTGCTCCCCGAGTACCACCAGCGAGTAGAGGTGGGGGGGCGGGGCTGGGCTGGGGGTCTGGCGGGGAAGCTGTCTGCCGGCTCCCAACACCCACTATCCTTGCAGGTGCTCCGAACCCTGGGGTATGTGGACGAGGCGGGCACCGTGAAGCTGGCTGGGCGGGTGGCTTGCGCCATGAGCAGCCACGAGCTGCTCCTCACCGAACTGATGTTCGACAATGCACTGAGCGCCCTGCGGCCTGAGGAGATCGCTGCCCTGCTCTCCGGCCTGGTCTGCCAGAGCCCTGGGGACCCTGGCGATCAGATCCCCAGCACCCTCAAACAGGTATGGGGATGACGGCCAGGACCCCTCCCTTCCTCAGCCGTGGCATTCCCAGTCCATCCCCACGTGTTCCCCAGGTGCCCTCTGAGTGTCCCTAAGAGCTGGAATGGTTTCTTCTTTCATCCCGGCCTTCTTCCTGGAGCAGGAAGGCAGGGCTTAGAGCCTCTCCTCTCCGTCTGCAGGGGGTGGAACGGGTCCGGACTGTGGCCAAGCGGATTGGTGAGGTCCAGGCGGCCTGTGGCTTGAACCAGACCGTGGAGGAATTTGTGGGGGAGCTGAATTTCGGGCTGGTTGAGGTTGTGTACGAGTGGGCCCGGGGCATGGTGAGTAGCTGGGGTTTGGGGCCTTTGTGGACAGCCAGCTGGGGAGAGGCTGTCCCGGCCCACCGTATTCAGTCCCCACCCTGCTTCTCCCACAGCCCTTCTCTGAGTTGGCAGGGCTCTCAGGGACCCCTGAGGGCCTGGTGGTCCGCTGCATCCAACGCCTGGCTGAGATGTGTCGCTCACTTCGGGGGGCGGCCCGCCTGGTGGGCGAACCTGTGCTAGGTGCCAAGATGGAGACAGCAGCCACCCTGTTACGGAGGGACATTGTCTTTGCTGCCAGCCTCTACACCCAGTGACTGGCCCCTGGCTATAATGTAACAATAAAACTGCAAACCCTCTGTGTGAACCTGAGGTGTTGGGCAGGGATGACTCAGCTCAAAAGACACAGCAGGGAGAGCCACTTGGAAATACACTTTTATCTGTGCACACAGAAATAGGACCAGCCCCTGTGAAGCATCAGTCCTTGGGGGAGGGTGTCTTGGGGGGTGATGGGAGGTCCTGGGTCACAGCTTCCACGTACCATGGAGGCAGGAAGGCGTGGGGTGCGTCTCGGTGTTCAGACACTGTGACAGGGCCACCGGGCTCCCAGGAGAAGAGGTAGACAAGCCTGGGGGGCAGATAGAGTCCTGAATTGAGGGCTGGATGAGCTTCTGGGCCCCAGAGGGGAGGGGCAGAACTGAATGCCTCACCTGGGGTCATCATGAACCACTGTGTTCTGGGCAAAACTAAGGAAGGCGGCACAGAAGTTCATGCACACGGAGGGATTCCAGCCGTCACGGTCATTCTGGAGAAAGCCCAGGAGGAGGCAGAAGACCGGCAGTGAGGGTTGAAGGGGAAGGTGGGCTGCAGGTCCCTGGACAATGGACCTGTGATGTTGGGGTAGGGGGATGCAGGTGGGAACTCATTGCCTTACTCTGACATATTCAAACATCTCCATAGTAGGAAAGGTCTTCAGGGAACAGACAAAACCCTCCGGGTTACGGAAGCCAGCAACAACATTTGGGACGCCTGGCAGGAATGACTGGGCCCACCATTTCAGGAGCTTGTGTCTGTCAGGAAAGGCAAGGGGGTCAGTGGGACCCCTCCTCCACCCTCCAACCTCCTCCCCCAAGTCTCTTGCCAAGCTTTTCATCCAAGGTTCTCATCCTGTCCACCCCCGTCTTGAACCTGTAGAAGCTCTTCCATTGGCCAGGGCTGTGCATCTCCTTGGAGGTCTTGAGCTCCACATAGCAGGTGGGGGGCTGTGTGGATGGGGCCTGGGGGTCTGTGCAGTCCACCTCCCCGGAGAAGAGAAGAGGGTGGTTTCCCAGGCGGCTGCGTAGCACAGAGCAGAAGGCCACGTTGGTGTTAACCTCCCCAGAGGGATCTGGGGAGACTCCGGGTTTATCTGCACAAGGAGAGAAACAGCAGCAAGGGCTGGGGTCTCTCAGTCTCTGGGAATAGGGGAGGGGGACCCAGAATCAGGGCAACTCTCACCTGCACACATGTACTGCTCAAATTTGTACCCCATGTACATAAGCTCCCGGAGAAGTGGTGGCCGGGTAAGCCTCTGAACCCGAGCAGTCGGCGTCTCTACCTCACTCAAGTAGAGCGTCCCCTGGAACCGGGAGGCTGCCAGCTGCCAGCCTTCCTGCCGCTCATATGGTGTCGTCAGCAGTTTTGTCAGGTGCCCTCGCCACGTCACTATGGCCCCTGCCAGCCAGCCTGGACCCCTGAGAAGGAGGATTTAGGGGCTGAAGATCTGATACCTGCATTAGTGCAGATGGCTTCCCTAAAGCATAGGGTAAGATAAGGACTCACTCCAGCTTTGGCTCTCCCAATTTTAGAGGGTGAGTGCAGGCCTCTAGGGCTACCGTGTGCTATGCTTTGCTCACCCCTCTAGCTGGCCTCGGTGCGCCAGGAGCCAGCGTAGCAGGTGGTCCAACCTCTCTTGGACCTCTTCGTCCCGGGGCTGGTATCGATCAGGGTATCCGTCTCTGAGGTCAAAATTGGGGCTTTGACCATTGGTGGGAGGTGGGCTGTAGTACCGCAAAGCGCGAGCATCTCCATGGTACTGGCGCTGTGCATCCAGGGAGAAGCAGCCCAATTCGGAAGGGCGCCGGTAGAAAGGAAAGGGCCCAGAGTAGAGAGCGGGGTCTGTGGGCAGGGAGGGTGCTGGGCGGGGGAGCTTGTTCCGAGGCTCAGCGACCTCTATCTTTCCAGCTTCTCTCTTGGTCCCTCTGGACTCCATGAGGTCCTGAGAGGGGACAAGGAAGTTCCCCCTTTAAAATAAGGGCTGGAAAAGAGGGACTTCGAGTCAGGACTAAGCGAGTCTGGCCTTGAAACATGCAAGCCCCGTGTCCTCAAACTGAACCCCACCAGGTGCGCATGCCACCTTTTCCCTTGACCTATATACTCCCAACCCCAGTAGCTCCAAACCCAGAGAGGTTAGGAAGGATGCTTGGGTTCAGGTAAAGGATCTGGTTACCTCAAATCCTGCCAACCTCGACTTCTACCTTCTCAGCGCTATGACGTCATGGCAGGTACATCATGTCAAAGATGTGAGGGCAGTTGTCTCCGCTCTCGATGACGCAATCACTCAGCGACAGAGGCGGCCTATCCCCTAGGTGGCGGGAGGGGGCTGTGCGCTTTACGCCCGGGGGGAGATCCCAGCGTGGCCACCCGCGCCCCTCCGCAGCGCCCAGGCGTCCCCGGACGTGAGCGCTCTCAGAGGAAGCCAATCAGCAGCGGACGTGGGGTCTCGGCCAATGAGGATGGCGCTGGTGTTGGCATTGGCACCGCCCCTCCCAGCAAGGGGCGGAGGGATGACAAGTCAACGCTTCTCTCGTCAGCACTTCAGCTACGAATGATCGGGTTGATTGGTTTCCGAGGAGGGACGCCCAGGGGGCCCGTACGTCACTGCCCTGTGCCGGAAGACTATTTTCGTGGTCCCGTCCCTCAACAGCTTTCTACCTCTTCCCCGCCGCCCAAAGATCCCGGGATATGAGCCGGAAGAGGCATCGCCTGGTGCCGGAGACCTTTGGGTTGAAGAGGCGGCGGGAACTAGGGGATGTAGAGGCAGATCCTTTGCGGGGCGAGTCAGGTAACCATGGCAACCCAGGGGCGAGGCTAAAGACCCCAGCTGGCAGCAGCCTCGCCGCTGGTAACCCTGTATGTTGAGACAACAGCGCCCCAGTGTGGTACCCCCGCTTCCCCCGCCTCGGTTCACGTCGCAGTGACTCGGTCTCTTCGCCCAGGATCTGCGCGAGCGGCAGTCGCAGAGATAGTGCGGCTGTTCCCGCGAGTCCTGTTTGAGGATGCGCTACCCCCCATCGCGCTGAGGAGCCAGGTGTACAGCCTCGTCCCGGACCGAACCGTGGCCGACCGGCAGCTGGTGAGGAGCGTCAGAGCGACCAACGGGAAGGCTCTTTCGTGCCTCGCGGGCACTTCTGAGGTTCTCCCCATAACTCACTCGGTCCACCAGCTGTTCAGCCATTCAGCAAGCGCTGGGTCTTTTCTGGCCGGGCATTGTGCCAGGCACTGCGGTGCCGAGGAGAATGCTACAGACCGTCAGGGAATAGCATGCCAAATGATGAAGGTGGAAGAGCGAAGCTTTTGGGGAAACTGAGTCACCGGGCGTGGTTCGAGATGGGAATGCAAGCAGACGTCAGATTAGGGCAGGCCTTGCACACCAGCGTCGTTTCCATTTTACAGAGAAGGCAATGAGCTGGTAGAGAATGTTAAAACAAGAGAGGGAGTGGTGTGTTGCACGGATTGGAGGCAGTGTTATGAGTTGGGGAGATCAATTAGGAAGATACTGCCCCTGAGAACTGGTGAAAGCCTAAATTAGGGCAGTGTAGTAAGGAGGGAGAGGATGGGTGAGGGATGTGGAGCGGGAAAGAGGAAGGACTTCAGGATAGCTCTCGGATTTTCTGGACGCCTGAGTGGTTGATGGAGTGAATAGAGTAGAAGAACATTGAATGGTTGGGGGCAGATGATGTGTTTATTTTGTACAAGTTGAGTTGGAGGTGTTTGTGGAGCATCCGGAGGCAAATGTGCAGCAGACAGTTGGATGAGGGTTTGGAGAAAATTCTGGGCCACTGATACAGCACTGGAAGCCATTGAGATGTGAGTAGTGGTTCAGTCTGTGGATGTGGGTGAAATTGGTAGTAAGAGGGAGGAGAGGAGTGGTTTTTAACCTTTTTACAAACTTTAGAAGATAATGAAAGCCATGGCTCTCCAGAAAAAAAATGCATATATGCCACTGCGTGTGTGTGTGTGTGTGTGTGTGTATATATATATACATACATATATATATATATATATATATATATATATATATAAAGTGTATGTACAATTTGAGGAGGAAGGGGGTTGTTTCACAGATCCTCTGAGCCAAAGGTTAAGGACCCCAGGTTTGCAGTGACAGATAATAGAGCCAAATCCCCAGTGCTGGGAGATACCAACATTTAAGGCCGTGTTTCTCAAAGTATGTCCTGAGTTCTACTAGATTACCTGGACTGCTTCTTCAAAACTACAGGTTCCTGGGAATCTCTAAGTGAGAATGAATTAAGATTTCTTGGAGTAGGAACTGAAAATCTACATTTTAAAGCTACTTCCTCAAGTGATTCATAATGTGTGCTAAAATTTGAAGTCCAAGGACTTCCTGGGAGTCCAGTGGTTAAGACATTTCCATTGCTGTGGTGGGGAGTACAGGTTAAATCCCTGGTCAGGCATCTAAGATCCTGCTTAACTCAAGGTGTGGCCAAAAAAAAAAAAATTGAGATCCACTGATATGGTGGGTATGGGGGAGGAGAAGGAGGAGTCTGTGAAAAAGTTGTTAAAAAGAATTGACAGAGTTGGGAGGAACCCAGGAAGGAGTATATTGAGAAAGTAGCAATTTTCAAGAGGGTGGAGTAGTTGGCAGTATTAGAACCTATGATTCAAGACAGTGGTCTGTGATGTGGTCAAGTTAAATAATAGCCAATTGGATTTCGCAGTTGGCAACCTGTTAGGAAGAAAAAAGGGAAGAAAAGGAAGATGGAGACTAGCGCAAGTCTCTTAAGGAAGCAAGTCAGAACCACTCCTTATAGAGTATTTGTTGTTTTTAACCTACTGGTGTTAGCCTAAATTTTGGGAAAACTTTAAAAATTGCACAAAAGAAAATATAAACACATATAATTTAAAGAATGTTTATAAAGCAAAGACCCACTTAACCATCACCCAAGTCAGACTGCAGAACACAGCCAACAGCCCACATACAGTCAAAATGCCTTATGTCCCTGGGAAGCAACATACCTGACTGGTTTGATAATTGTTCCCTTAATTTCTTTTATACCATCTATGTGTTTATCCATAAATAACATAGCTTAGTTACCTACTTTTCAATTTGATATAAATAAAAGCATACCATATGTATTTACTTACATCTTGTTTCATTAGATGATTATTTTTGAGATTCATGGGGGCTTCCCAGTGGTGAGGAATCTCCTGCCTGTGCAGGAGACCCAAGAGACGCAGATTGGATCCCTGGATTGGGAAGATCCCCTGGAGCAGGAAATGGCAACCCACTCCAGTATTCTTGCCTGGAAAATTCCATGGTTAGAGGAGCCTCGTGGCTACAGTCCACGGGGTTTCAAAGAGTTGGACGTGACTGAGTGACTGAGAATGTGCACGCACACACAGGTTTAAAATTCATTTTCATAGATTTCTATTTTGTGAATATATCCCACTTTGTCCAGTCTAGTGGAAGAAATTGTATTGTTTTAAGAATTTGTCAATTTCATCTAAAATTTCACATTTATTGACAAAGTTTGTAATCTCACTTTATTTTCTGTAGAATCTATAGTGATGATCTTTTTTTTGTTGTTGTTCCTTCTTATTGGTTATCTGTGCTTCTTCTAGGTTCCTCTTTCCCCCTTTCTGTCTTGGTCAGTCTCACCAGGTTTATCAATTTTAGTAATCTTTCAAAGAATTAACATTTAGCTCTGTTGCTCTTTCTTGCATGCATGTTTTCCATTTCATTCATGTTTCCTCTCTACTGTTATGCTTATTTTACTTTTTTTCCTCCATTGATTTTCTTTCTTTTTTTTTTTCATTTATTTTCCTCCATTGATTTTCATCCTCTATTCTTTTCTAATAGATGCAAGTTAGGCTGTAGTCTGCCCCTATGTACATCATCTGTCAAGTTTGGGTATATATTTCCATTGTCATTTATTTCAAAATATCTTCTAGTTTCTTTTGTGATTTTTTTCCTTTGACTTACACTTACTGGGTTGATTAGAAATGTATGTCTACTTCCTAAACATTTTCTAGTTACCTTGTTAATGATTTCTGGCATAAATGATATTATTATGGCTAGAGATCATGCACAATATGATTTCAGTCATTTGGAAGCTTATTGAGACATGTTTTGTGCTATATAGTCAGTTTTATGAAATATTCTATGTATGTATATTTGAAAAAATATGTATTATTCAGTTACTAATTTCTTAGTAACTAAAGTTATTATTGAAATCTTTTATTTCCTCACTGATTGCTATTTTGTCTGTTCTATGAGTTTATGTGACTTGGATTAATGTAGTTTTGTGATTGTGGCTGTTATTGGTTCTTCAGATACTTCCCACACCTTATTATCTCTTTTCTTTTCTTCTGGGACTCCAATTAAACCCATATTGGGCCTTCTGTTTGAATCCTTTAAGTCTCTTAGCCTCTTGTCTTCATTTTTAATCTTTTTTATTGTCTTTATTATGTTCTGGTTAGTTTTTTTTTTTTAATCTGTTTTGTAGATTAGTAGCTTTTTATTTAGTTGTGCCTTAACCTACTGACTCCCGCAGTTTACTCAAACTCATGTCCATTGAGTCGGTGATGCCATCCAACCATCTCATCCTCTCTCATCCCCTTCTCCTCCTGCCCTCAATCTTTCCCAGCATTAGGGTCTTTTCAAATGAGTCAGCTCTTCACATCAGGTGGCTAGACTATTGCAGTTTCAGCTTCAACATCAATCCTTCCAATGAACACCCAGGACTGATGTCCTTTAGAATGGACTGGTTGGATCTCCTTGCAGTCCAAGGGACTTTCAAGAGTCTGCTCCAACACCACAGTTCAAAAGCATCATTTCTTCGGGCTCAGCTTTCTTTACAGTCCAACTCTCACATCTATACATGACTACTGGAAAAACCATAGCCTTGACTAGACGAAACTTTGTTGGCAAAGTAATGTCTCTGCTTTTTAATATGCTGTTTAGGTTGGTCATAACTTTCCTTCCAAGGAGTAAGCGTCTTTTAATTTCATGGCTGCAGTCACCATCTGCAGTGATTTTGGAGCCCCCAAAAATAAAGTCTGCCACTGTTGCCACTGTTTCTCCATCTATTTGCCATGGAGTGATGGGACCAGATGCCATGATCTTAGTTTTCTGAATATTGAGCTCTAAGTTAACTTTTTCACTCTCCTCTTTCACTTTCATCAAGAGGCTCTTTAGTTCTTCTTCACTTTCTGCCATAAGGGTGGTGTCATATGCATATCTGAGGTTATTGATATTTCTCCTGGCAATCTTGATTCCGTCTTGTGCTTCATTGGTGATGGACAGGGAGGCCTGGTGTGCTGCAGTCCATGGGGCCTCAAAGAGGCAGACACGACTGAGTGACTGAACTGAATCTACTGAATCCATCCGTTGATTTCTTAACTGCACCTGCTTTATTTTTGAGTGCTGGAATTTCTATTTCATGAATGTCTTTCAAATCCATTATGTCAGTTTTCATAATTTCCTGCTGAAATTTTCCATTCTAGCTTTTATTTATTTCAGCATTATAAGCATACTTAAAAAAATAGTCTATTTTTTATAAGTTTACTGTAACATATCTTTTTAGGTTTGTTTCTATTGTCTGTTTCTTTTGAATTTTGTTTTCCTATATTAGTCTGATAATTCCTTATTATCTTATGAGCGCTTTAATTGCTTAAACAACTTTTAAAATAACATTTTATGCAGTATTTTACCTAATTTTCAGTGAGTGAGTTGGTCTTGCTATATTCCTGGAAACAGAAGTTCTGGTTTATTTTTATTTGTTTGAAACATTTTATCCCATATTCTTCTCCAGTTTTCCCACCCCAAATCAGTCAACTGTTAATTCCTTGAGGGCAGAGCCCATTAATCACTGCTTTATCTTAGTGTCTGCCTATGATTGGTCTTAGAAAATATGTCATGATTTTTTTAATGTATTTTTTTTTTTATTCAGCAGACTTTTAAAAATATTTATTATTTATTTGGCTATCTTGAGTCTTAGTTGCAGCATGTGGGATCCTTAACTTGCTGTATGCAAACTCTTAGTTGTGGCATGTGGGATCTAGGTCTCCAATCAGGGATTGAACCGGGGTCCTTTGCACTGGGAGCATGGAGTCTTAGCCACTGGACCACCAGGGAAGCCCCCTGTGTTGACTGTTTAACAAATAACTCATGAGGTGGGTGGGTGAAAGACTAATTGGAAAAGACTATTTGGTGATCCACCTAATTCTCTCCCCATAGTTTTTCCTTTACTTAAAGAACTCCCCAAAACTTGGACACAGAATGTCCCTGCCCAGAGTGTCCAGGGTATAGCAGAGCATCTTCCCCTGACACCCTCTTTTCACTCTCATGTCTATGGAGGCAGAAGGCACTGCAAGAACAGGGGGAGATCAGGATTGTCCAGCTAGGCTTCGACTTGGATGCCCAAGGAATCATGTTCACCGAGGACTACAGGACCAGAGTGAGTGTGACTGTGTGTGGGTCATGGGGGCCAGGGCAGGGGTGCAGGAAGACTAGGGAGTGGGAATAAAAAGAAAAGAGACAAACCCCCCACCTCACATCTCACAGACAGGGCACAGGGCAATATCTGATAAAATATTAATATGGGAGAGAGGAAGAAGAGGAGGAAAAGTATGAGAGGTAGAAGGACCTGAGCAGCAGGCAAAACATAGGAAGAGAAATGTCATCCTGGGGACAGAGGTTGGTGGAGGTGGGGCCAGACCACGTCTCTCATCTCTGGTTGCAGGTCCTCAAGGCTTGTGATGGCCGCCCATATGCTGCCGCAGTACAGAAGTTTCTGGCTTCCGTGCTTCCAGCCTGTGGTGACCTTAGCTTCCAGCAAGACCAAATGACACAGACCTTTGGCTTCAGGGACCCAGAGATCACGTGAGACCTGGGGGAACCAACAGAATCAGGCATCTGACCACACCCCCCCCGCCAAGTCCCATCGGCCTTGTCCTCTTTCTTTTGGGGAACTTGTTAAAAAGGCAGAATCTTTTTTTTTTTTTTTAATAAAATGACCTAAGTTTGTGCTTCTTCCCCAGGAGGAGAGGTCTGTCTTATCTGAGGCCTTGGAAACAGCCCTGGACTAAAATTCAGGAGATATGGGTGGCTAATCAAATATAGAGGCCTGGCAGGAGCCATAAATGCCTGGTGGGAATCAGCATTCACATTCAAAAGAACAACAGCTAGGCAAGGGCTAAAGCGAAGTATCATTTCAGGAGGGTGGGTCTGACTCAGGATCCCTACTTTGTAACCTGTGATATACCTGAACGCATTGGATAAACTTCGGTAAGATTTGGGAAGAGCTGTGGTGAGGTATGGGACTTCCTTGGTGGCTCAGAGGTTAAAGCATCTGCCTGCGATGCCGGAGACCTGGGTTCGTTCCCTGGGTCGGGAAGATCCCCTGGAGAAGGAAATGGCAACCCCCTGCAGTATTCTTGCCTGGAGAATCCCATGGAGGGAGGAGCCTGGTAGGCTAAACTTCCCTGGTGGCTCAGTGGTGAAGAATTGCCTGCCAATGCAGGAGATGCAAGTTCAGTCCCTGGGTTGGGAAGATCCCCTGGAGAAGGAAATGGCAACCCACTCTAGGATTCTTGCCTGGAGAATCCCATGGACAGAGGAGCCTGGCTGGCTGCAGTCTGTGAGGTCGCCATGGAGTTGGACATGGCTTAGCAACTAAACAACAAACAACAGTGGTGAGGTATGTGTAGGTAATGGCAGGAGCTCTGGAGAAAGGCCTCTGTGTCTCCCCTGGTGGTGGGACTGACAGTGGTCAAGGGGGCTTCAGAGAGGAGGAGCAGTTTTAGTGAACATGCAATAATAGCAGTCATGTCTGACTCTTTGTGACCCCGTGGACTGTAGCCTGCCAGGCTCCTCCAGGCATGGAATTTTCCAGGCAAGAATAAGCCATTCCCTTCTCCAGGGGATCATCCCGACCCAAGGACTGAACCTGAGTCTCCTTCATTGCAGGCAGATTCTTTACCATCTGAGCCACAATGTAACAGGAAAAGATAGGGTGGACGGAGGGCAGTCAGGTGGGAGAATGGCAAGCAAGGTCATAAGGCACGGAGCAGCATGGTCTGAGCAGGGAGCTGCCCCAGGCTGGACTCCTGTGGTCCAGTCCCATGGCCTAGGTGCCCAGGCCTCTGGAGAGTTAGTGTCCAACATTAGTGGGCAGGGAGGGGAAAGAGTTCTTAGTTCATCTCCACTCTCTTAGGCAGCTGGTCAAAGCCGGGGTTTTCACTGTCCGAGATGCTGGAAGTTGGTGGCTAGCCGTGCCTGGAGCTGGGAGGTTCATCAAATATTTTGTTAAAGGTACACTCTCTGCAGCTCAGGCCCGCAGCCCCTCAAGAACACTTTCTGGTGCCTCCTCAGGCCTCTAGACCTTACTCACCTTTCCCCTCTCCCATGCCACCTCTCCCCCAGGGCGCCAGGCTGTCCTCAGCATGGTCCGGAAGGCCAAGTACCGGGAACTACTCCTTTCAGAGCTCCTGGGCCGGCGGGCACCTGCCTCGGTGCGACTTGGCCTCGCCTACCACGTGCACGACCTCATTGGGGCCCAGCTGGTGGACTGGTGAGTCTTGCGCCCTAGCCTCTGGAAGATGACAGAGCAATGACCTCAGGTTGGATTTCCTCCCTCTTTGTGCTTCCTTCATAAGCAAAGCCCAGCCCCTCTCCTGTCTTCTGGAACGCGGGAACATATCCACCCAAGTTCTGAGTTCTCTGGAACTCAGGAACCTGGCTCCAGCCTTGTCTTTTTCTTGCACAGTGTCTCCACCACTTCTGGAACCCTCCTCCGCCTGCCAGAGACCTGAAGACTCTGCTCGTCATTGCACACCTCCCCAGGGTGGGGATTGAGGGGCCCAGGAGGGCTGCCCACCCTGGGTGAGGCAGGGTCACCTTGGGAAGGCTTGGGAGCCAGGATGATTGCTGGGCTTGCTGCTGTGCCGAGGGTCAGATGTGACTGCCACTGTTTACCTGGGCTGTGTCCCAGTGGAGGGGTTTGGGCAGTGCTTCTCTGCCCTTTCACGGAAGAGGAGCCAGAAACCTTGCCAAGGCCATGGCTGCTGTCTTTCATGCAGCAAGGTTCTGCCACTGTTCTGTCTGGGGTAGGAAGAAGGGGTCATTGGGTAAACTGTCAAAGTTGGACAGTTTTTCTTCCTACATGTTGGGTTGAAACTGCCAAATAAAGTACTTCTGATGTTTTGTGGATGTCTTTTGTTTCATGAGACAAGTGAGTTTGGGCACCTTGTTTAGAGGCAGAGGTAAAGCCAAAGCGGGGCCAGAGCTTTACCTTGTTGATCAGAGAGGAACAAGGGACACTGAGGTCAGTTTCCCCTGAGGGATGGTGAGAATGTGTCTGATTGCCTAAATGACAGAATTTTTGTTAGAGCCTGCAAAAAGCTAGTATAATTCAGTTTTTGTGGGAGTTAGTGTAAGAGATTTTCCAGGTGCCTCAGTGGTAAAGAATCCGCCTGCCAGTTCAGGAGACTGGGTCAGGAAGCTCCCCTGCAGGAGGAAATGGCAACCCACTCCAGTATTCTTGCTGGGGAAATCCCACGGACAGAGGAGCCTGGTGGGCTACAGTCCCTGGCGTCACAAAGAGTTGGACATGACTGAAGCAACTGAGCATGCCTGAACACATAATAAGAGACAGGTTTCTCAGTATCTTGTTTTGTGAGACCAACAAAGGAGCCATGTGTTGGAACCATTTGCTGAGCCATGTGGGGCCCTCCTGTGCCGATGTATGTGTGTAGATGCTATATGCACAGGCACCCAGACCCACGCAATAGCAGTGGTGCCCAGGGCATTGGAATGAGGGGTTAATAGGGAAGGACTCAGTCTCTCCAGGCCATGATTTCCTCAAGACACCCAGGTGTCCGGGTTGCCCCCCTCTGAATACTGGGCCTGGGGCCAGTTGCAGTTCTTGCTTGTCACGTGGTTTCCCGGCTTATCTGGGCCAGGGGAGGAGCAAGGTCCAGAGTCAAAACTCTGCTCCAAGCCCTGCATTAACCAGAAAGGAGCAGGCAGGCAGGCGGGTCTGAACCCCTCGGGTCCTCCAGCCATGAGGCTCCTCTGGGGTCTGATCTGGGCATCTGGCTTCTTCGCCTTGTCTCTGCAGAAGCCCAGGTCCTGGAGGCAGGATGCGGACAGCTTGAACAGGGCCAGGGCTGGCGAGGGGAGAGTGGGCTCAGAGGGTCCTGATTCGGGGGGAGGGGTGGAGGCTGGCTGCTGACTCGCACCTGTTCTTCCCAGGTTGCTCCTGTTTTCTCCTTCTGTGGTTCGCATAGGGGTCCCCCTGTCTGTGGCCGTGAAACTCCAGGATGCTCCTTCAGGACAGGTGGTGAGAGGATCCGTGTTCCTGAGGAACCCATCCCACGTTAATGAGCTCTGCTCCCTGAAGGTGGATTTCAGCCTCAGCTCAGACAGAGACTTCATACTCCTCAACCTCCCGGTAACAGTCCCACTCCTCCCTGTTGCTGCCCAGTGCCTCCCCTTCTGTTCTCCTGTGTCTTCTTGGAAACACCTTTCTCTTCTCATCCCCTTGCTCCCTTCCTCTCCTCCCACCCCTGTGGCACTTTGTGTCTTAGTCTGTCTTTTCCCTTCTGCTCTGTCTCTGACTCACTCCCTGTCCCTCTCCTCACAGATTCCGCAGGAACAGGCCAGGATCTGTCGCCTCCATCTCCTCCGCGGAGCCCCCGAGGTCCAGCTGATGGTGCAGTCATCATGGCTAAGGGACTCTCTGTCCAAACAGACAGACATGCAGGGTGTCAACCTGCTGTTCTCCTCTCGCCGTGGGCACCTCTTTCTGCAGACTGACCAGCCCGTTTATAACCCTGGCCAGCGGGGTGAGTCTCGGTGCGAGGGCCTCCACCTTTCATGCCTTCCCAGTCACTTGAGTGAGGTAACCTGAAGCCCCTCACAGGAAGGCTGCTTTGCAAACCTTTGTTCTCCTTCCATTCACTTTCTGGGAGGGGGTCAGGGGTCCAGGGCTCACCCTCTCGTGGCTCTTGCTGACCTCCTCATCCTATATTTCCAGTTCGCTACCGAGTCTTTGCTCTGGATCAGAAGATGCGCCCGGCCACTGATATCCTCACGGTCACGGTGGAGGTGAGCCCCCGACCTCTGACCTTCCTAATGGGCCAGGGCTGCTGAACTGGCTTCTGACCGTGACTGCCTCACTCCCATTGCAGAACTCTCAAGGCTTCCGCGTGCAGAAAAGGGAAGTGGTTGTTCCCTCCTCCATCTTCCAGGACAACTTTTTGATCCCAGACATCTCAGAGTGAGTATTTCCTCCCAGGGACTGCCCCCAATGACACTTCTCTAACTCCCACTTTCCCAAACTGGCCAACTACATACTGCGCATGGACCAGTCCTAATCTCCCTCAGCCCCTGGATAACCCCATAGTCTCTTCCTAGGGAGCTGGGTCTCTGGCTGTCAGTGGACCTCTTGCATGAGTGGGCTGAGTCTCTCCCTTGTCCGTCCTCAGGCCAGGAACATGGAAAATCTCAGCCCGATTCTCAGACAGCCTGGATTCCAATAGCAGCACCCAGTTTGAGGTGAAGAAATATGGTGAGAGCTGGAGATGGGAGGGACAAGCACCCCTTTTCTGCTAGGAGGAAGGGGTGGAGCAGAGGTGGGGCTGCAGGGCCAGGGAAGGAAGACGCGGCTGCCACAGCCCCGAGGGGAGGGAAATATCTTAAGGGTCCTATCATGAGAGTCTGATCTCCCTTTGCCCTGGGTCAGTTCTTCCCAACTTTGAGGTGAAGATCATTCCTGAAAACCCCTACATCCTGACAACGCCTGGCTTTCTTAGTGACATCCAAGTGATCATCCAGGCCAGGTAACTCCCCCTTGCTCATGGTCCCTCACACTGGGCCTGGTGCCAGGACGCCCCATGCAGCGTGAACGTGCAGTGGAACCCCACTTCCCTCCCTCGCCCTGGCCCTCAGCCCCTCTTCTGAATCTCTCCTTGGTGGCAGGTACATCTATGGGAAGCCAGTGCAGGGGGTGGCATATGTGCGCTTTGGGCTCCTGGGTGAGGACGGTGAAAAGACTTTCCTGCGGGGCCTGGAGAGTCAGACCAAGGTAGGAAGGAGGGTTGAGGTGCGTGAGGTGGATGAGGAGAGTTGAGGCAACATGAGGAGGTGAGGTGGGAGACTCGAGTCTCATCCTCTATCCTGTCTTCTTCTTTGCCCCAGCTGGTGAGTGGCCAGTGCCAAATTTCCCTCCAAAAGGCTGAGTTTCAGGGTGTGCTGGAGAAGCTTCATATTAGCATTAATGACCTCCCAGGGCTGCGCCTCTATGTTGCGGCAGCCGTTATTGAGTCTCCAGGTGAGTGGCTTTCCCTGATTTTAACCCTGGACCCTCACCTCTGACCTCCGAGCTGACCCTCTGTTCTCTAGCACCAACACCACCCTGCTTCCCCTCAGCTGGGACACAAAGTCAGGAAAGACCCAGAAGACTGTGTCTCTACAGCTCCATTTCTGGGCTTTTTCTGGGGAAGGGGTCCTTCCATCATCTCAATGTATTATTTTTTACCCAATCACCCACCCATCCCTCCATCCATCTGCGCATCCCTCCATCAATCCACCCGTCCCTGCATCCATCCACTGATCCATCCATCTAATCACTCATCCATCTAGCATCCACCCATCCATCCATCCCTCCCTCCGTCAATCACACGTCCCTCCAACCCTTCATCCATCCATCCATCCATCATTCCATCCATCCAGCCTTCCAGCCACCGAACCCCTTCTTCCATCCATCTATCAATCCATCCACGAATCCATCCATCTATCCATCATCCACATATCTATCACCAGAGCTGTGTGTTATATACCATCTGTGTGAAATGTCCTGTGTTGGCCTCAGGAAACCTAGAGATGAACAGAAGGCAGTTTGTGCCCTGAAGTGTTCAGCCTTATGGGTGGGAAACACTAGAGCTCCCTCTCCCCGCCCCCAGCCCTCCTTTTCCTCTCTTCCCATGTCTCCATGTCCACCTCTCTCCACCCTATACCTTGCAGGAGGAGAGTTGGAGGAGGCAGAGCTCACGTCCTGGCGTTTCGTGTCATCTCCCTTCTCCTTGGATCTAAGCAAAACCAAGCAGCAGCTTATACCCGGGGTCCCCTTCCTGCTGCAGGTTTCTTCTGGAAGGGGAGGATGAGCAGTGGGGGCAGGGAGTGGAGGACAGGAGGGCACAGCGTCCCACTGACTGCACTCTTCCCTTTGCCCCTCCCTGTTTACCTAGGCCCGGGTCCGTGACATGTCAGGCTCCCCAGCCTCTGGCATCCCCGTCAAAGTGTCTGCCAAGTTGTTTTCTGGATCTACTTCTAAAAATGAGGACTTTGAACGGAACACAGATGAGAGCGGTCAAGTCATTGTTTCCATTGGTGTTCCTCCAACCATCTCAGAAGTGCAGCTCTCGGTAGGACCCCACCCTCATGGGAGTGGGTGGGCTGGGAGAGAAGCTTCCCAGGCTGGCAGGTGGAGGGGGGGAAGCTGGGTGCCTGGGCCCTTTCCATTGACCCTGTGACCCCTGCCCTCTCTCCAGGTGTCTGCAGGCTCCCCACACCCTGCCGTAGGCGGTCTCACCGTGAAAGCCCCCCTGTCCAGAAGCTCTGGGTTTCTGTCCATTGAGTGGCGGAATCCTCGACCTCTTAAAGTTGGAGAGGCTCTTAACCTAAACCTGCAGGCCGTGGGCATCAGTGGGAGCTTCTCACACTTCTACTACATGGTGCGCATGACTGGGCTACAGGGGAGGACAGGGGTGGGAGGGTCTCAGCAGGAAGGAGCCCTCAGGGTGGGTGGTGG